CATGAAGCTCTACCACAACAAGCCTCATATTTACTATCCTGATGCATCAGGAAATAATTGAGACAAAAATTTGAAATATTTAGGGGTCCTTCCTATTACTATAAGTAACATCTATGTCAAGTTTCAGATCATTTCATTAATTTTCATGCGAGCTAGAAAATAAAAAGTAACCGATTCACAAAAGTTTCATGAAGCTTTGCCATAAATAGCTTCATATTAACAAGACTGATGTATAGAGAAATAACTGAGATAAAATTCGGAAATATTTATGGCTTCTTCCCATCTTTATAAGTAACAACTATGGCAAGTTTAAAATGGTTTCATCAATTATTACCCGAGTTGTAAATAAAAGTATCCTTTAAAAAATAATTCCATGTACTTCCCCATTAAAAAAATTCGTAAGTTTGGGGCACGTGTAAATATTAAAATTATGAGCCTAAATTTTGCAAGAATATTTTGTATCAATTTGCAAAGTGCTTGAATAACATACATTCGAAAAATCGTTGAAATAATAAACACAGTACACACGGTACTCGTGATAGTTTGGATTTTTGAAATGTCTGTTTGCCTCCAGTAGCTGTACAGTAAATATCGCGTAGTTGACGAACGGAGTGTAGTGCTTGGAGAACTCTATTTGACTGAAAGGGTAGCTAAGGCAAAGTGCCACCGAGGTAGCGCATGGCTAGGATAGTTTGTGACTTCTGAATTTACGGGGACCCCCTTCATCGCGTGGATCTGTTTAATGACGTTCCACTATAAACAAACGGGGACTAGACCCCTCAAAACACGTGGCACTTGGCTACCGTCGGAGAAGACATACGAGAATCCCTCGGTCTCTTTGTAAACTATTCCTGTGGGAAACTTCGTTTATTTGGTTTTTAATTACAAGTAGGTCTAGGTAAATTATTGTTCATTATTCATATTAGAATGGTTCAGCGTTCGAATTTCATTATTTAAAGATTTTAGTATACGAATATTATTATATTCGTATAATCGAGCGTCTGAATTTTGTTATATTTAAATAATTTAGCATTCGAATTATTATTAATAATTAATGATATTAATTATACACTGTCAATAATATATTAATTAATATTAACACGTTATTCGAAGATTTCAGTAGTTTCATTATATTCGAATTTTATTATTTTAATAATTAACCACGAGAATTTCATTATTTAAATAATTCAGGATTCGAATTCTATTATTCATATAATTCAAAATTCATTTGTTTATTATTCGAAGATTTCGGTACTTTTATTATATTATTTATTATATTATTCGAATAATTAAGCATTTGAATTTTAATATTTGAATAATTTTGTCTTCGAATTTTATTATTTAAATAATTCAGGATCCGAATTCTATTATTCATATAATTCAAAATTCATTTATTTATTATTCGAAGATTTCGGTACTTTTGTTATATTATTTATTATATTATTCGAATAATTAAGCATTTGAATTTTATCATTTGAATAATTTTGTATTCGAATTTCATTATTTAAATAATTCAGGATTCGAATTCTATTATTCATATAATTCAAAATTCATTTGTTTATTATTTGAAGATTTCGGTACTTTTATTATATTATTTATTATATTATTCGAATAATTAAGCATTTGAATTTTATCATTTGAATAATTTTGTATTCGAATTTCATTATTTAAATAATTCAGGATTCAAATTCTATTATTCATATAATTCAAAATTCATTTATTTATTATTCGAAGATTTCGGTACTTTTGTTATATTATTTATTATATTATTCGAATAATTAAGCATTTGAATTTTATTATTATTATTTTTTAATTTTTTATTTATTATTTTTTATTATTATTATTATTATTATTTGAATAATTTTGTATTCGAATTTCATTATTTAAGTAATTCAGGATTCGAATTCTATTATTCATATAATTCAAAATTCATTTGTTTATTATTTGAAGATTTCGGTACTTTTATTACATTATTTATTATATTATTCGAATAATTAAGCATTCGAATTTTATCATTTGAAAAATGTACCATTTGAATTTCATTATTCAAGTAATTTAAATAACGATGAAAGCTAAAGTATATAATTTTCGTAACTGTAACAAATACAATTTTACAACTCTATGCAATTTTTAATTTCATACTTTCGTATGTTTTCAAACAAATTCCAAAACCTAATTTTTCCATATTCATATATATTTTATTAATTATAATTTATATATACTATTTATTATTTTTTATATTTATTATTTTAATATTTATATATACTATTATTATTATTTATGTATATAAATATGGAAAAATTAGTTTTCGGAATTTGTTTGAACCCATACGAAAGTACGAAATCAAAAATTGCATAGAGTTGTAAAATTGTATTTCGTTATATTTACGAAAATGATATACCTTACTCTTCATCGTTATTTAAATTACTCAAATAATAAAATTCGAATGCTCGATTATCGCATATATCGTTACCTAATCACTAAATCGTTGCAAAACGTCACCGTACGTCTCCATCATACATGTTTCGAATCGCAAGAAGAGTCGCAAGAAGAATCGCAGATGCGATCGTGATTTAAAAAACACACACACACACACACGCGCAAAAAAAAAAAAAAGAAAAACCAGAAAAGTTACAAAAATCCCTGACCACCGTATAAACGAAAACAACTCACCAGCCTCGTCGGCGACCTCGCCGTTCTCCATATTACAATGCAGCACTTGGAACAGGAAGTCGATGTACCTGGTGGCGAGCTTGAGCGTCTGAATCTTGCTGAGCTTGTCACTGGGCAACGTAGGAATAATCTTCCTGAGTGCGGCGAACGCCTCGTTCAGACTCTGCGTCCTCTGTCTCTCCCTCACGTTCGCCATCACCCTCTGGTTCTGTATCTCCTCGAACGTCGCGCAGCTCTTCCTCCTGATCTTGTTCTTCGTGGACGACGCGTTGCTCTCCGTCTCGGACTCCGCGCTGCTCTTTCTCTTCCTCTTCCCGCCGGTCCTGGGCCCCTCTAACCCGTAGCTCTTCGTCGACGACGACGGCTCCATCTCCTTGAACCTCTGCTCCATCTCCGGCTTGTAATCCAGCACCTCGGGCTTGTACTCGACGATCTCCGGCTTGTAGTCCATCGTCTCCACGTGGTAGGGCTGCTGCGGGTGCCTGGGGCCCATTTCCTCGCCCGACGAGTACATCTGCGGCGATGGGGTCAGATAGATGCTCTGCTCGTGGTCCCGGCTGTGATCGGAGAGGAACCCGGGCGAGTTGTCGCGAAGACGTCTGTCGTACTCGGACACCTCCGCCTGGAGGTCCCTGAGGATCTTACCGCCGGGCTCCTGGAACCTCTTCGGGTCCTCCTGGACAGGGTAGATGGGATACGCCGGCGGCTGGTAGATCATCTGGTGATGGTGGACCTGGTAACCGGGAAGGTCTCTGTGCTCCGGCGGGCTGCTCAGGTCCATCAGGTGCGGCGAGAAACGCTCGTAGTGGTCCGGGGAGTTGCTCGCCGAGCTACCGGCGCTGTGCGGGATCCCCGAGCTGTCGCTGTTGTCCAACCCGTACAGGCCCTGGACGCGCTGCGACTGGAGGCTCACCGGGTGCGTGGTCTGCATCGTTCGACGACGGAACTGTCAGCGCATGGAGGGCACGGGCACTCGTTCGAGCTCTGCTCGCACTCACCGAGTTCGCACCGAGAGGAACACGTACGGACGGAGACGGTCGTTAGGGGAACCGCTACGGGGTCTAGATCGACACTGTTTGAGGAGGGCACGTCGTCGAGGCGATCGGTAGATCGAGTAGATTGGTAGATCGAGTAGATTGGTAGATCGAGTAGATTGGCTAGATCGCGACACTGTGGATCGACGCTGAACAACTACGGAGGGACGCGTCTCTCGCCAAGGTCAACGCTCGTGTAGATCTCAGCCTGTGAACTGAAACTGAACCGGTCCGAGCCGTCAGAGAGGAACCCCGCCTCCTGTCCGGGCTACCCCCACTACCGGCCGACCGCTCCCCCACTACCAGCCGAGCGCTCTCCCACTACCGGCCGAGCGCTCTCGTACTACTAGCCGAGCGTTCCCCCACTACTGGCCGAGCGCTCTCGCAGTACCAGCCGAGCGCTCTCGTACTACTAGCCGAGCGTTCCCCCACTAC